TTCTGGCTTAGGTGGAGGTTGGAGGGGGCAGGGGTATACTGGAGGAAGAGCAGTTTCAGTGGCGCTGGGTCTGTGGCGTGGTGGCCTGGCCTTGTGCGGGCAGCCAGACACGTGGATCCATTGCCAGAATGGTAGAGGCTGGAGACCCAGATCTAGCTGTCATTGACACACGGGACACACTGGAAGTCTAACATAGATGAGATCTCCCAGAAGGAATGGGTCCCTGAAAAGAGAAGAGGACCGTGGAGCAACACCATCGCCTGGGAAAGGAGCCAGACTCAGGGGCTCCCCCTGCCCTGGGGCTCTCCTCAAAGCCTCACCCCAGTGGAAACTCATCATGGAGCTCCTCCAGTACCCACCCTGGGAATGGCCTTCCCTCCTTGTGGGTGATAGCACTAGAGCCTTGACCGCGGTCCCACTTGGGTTGGAGCTGGTTGTACCCAGGCCAGCTCAGCACGGCCCCTGACACATGCACCCCATGAGTCAATAAACACCGAGTAAGGACTGGGGTCGGGGAAGGACTGGGCTCGGGGAAGGCAGGCTGGGCACCATGGATCTTTGTGTTCCCAGCACTTACTGTGTTGCCAGCACACAGCAGGTTCCTGATAAATTAATGTTTCATGCCATTTGACTCTGTTTTTAAAAAATGATGTGTGTACAAAGAAGAAAGCAACAAATCACCCCAAATCCAAACACCCTGAATTATCCAGGGTTAACATTTGGTGAATTTTATTCAGAGTTTCTCTTTACGTGTATATTCAGATGAGATCAGGCATGCTCAGTGTGGTATGGCCATAGACGTTATGTGTATATTCAGATAAAGGACTAGATGGAGGAGTGAATGGATGGATGGATGGATGGATATAAAAACAGACAAAAGCAACTTTATAAAAATATAATCGTACCATATTTGCTATTTTAAAATGAAATGCATGAAATCAAATCTTAATAGAACTTAACTGAAGAGAAAGAAACTGCAGCAAAATGGAAGAATAGGTGGATTTGAGATAAGTGTTAATTCATCACAAGAGATATTAGTACAAAAAGATCCCTCTATAGGAGACAGAGAGAGGATAAAAACCATCAAAGGGCTACAGCCATTATGTTGTACTTTTTTCTAACGACGTGTTTCAATTTTAGATGCCATGGGTTGACTCCGATTTAAAGAGATTCTTAGTAAGTGCACCCCCATCTCCCCTCCACCCACCCCCTAATTTTGGTTGCTTAAATTAGTTTTACTTTGACAGGTTTTATAACATTTACATTCCGTTCTGTAACCAGCATTCACCTAGTTGCTATTCCTGGTTCTGCACTTAAATAGATTTGAAGCTCACCACCACTCACTCTAACAGAGGTTCTACATTACCAAGTTGGTTTTTTTCTTTTTCTTTTGAATCATCTCTTGGTTGGCAGGATTTTGTCACTGAACATGACTTTCAAGAAGAGCTTGTGAGTGCTTTGGTCGCTGAGCCCTTTCGTGCTAGGAAAGGGTGACTTTGTACCCCCGTGACCGCCTGGCTGGTGTGGTATTCTTGGGTTGCGTTCTTTTCCCTGCGGAATGCTGTGGGTATCCTACTTTGCCTTTCATTCTATCGCTTCATCTTTTTGCTGGGGTTGGCAGCACCTGGTGACCAGCATCTCTTCCATTCCCTAAGTTCCGAACCACTTGAGAAAGAAGATGGAAGAGGAACGTGGCTGTTAGAGAACGGGGTGAACACAACCTTAGAATGAAACAGGCGGGACTGCGCTGAGCCCAGCCTCCTTCCCACGGGCAGTGCCTGTCCATCTAAAGCCTAAGGCTCAGAGGGGCGGAGCGGGCTTCCTTGCTTCCGAGGAGGAGGAGGAGGGAGGGGAGGGGCGGGTCACAGGCTGCCCAGTGTTTCCCAGTGACTCACCAGCCAGGTATTCCTCCACCTCCAGTGCCCAAGAGCATGTGGGGCTGGGAGATGGTTCCGGTGTGGGAGGAACCTCCCCTCCACGTGGGAGGAGCCCTCAGGATAGAGGAGACTGCATCTCCCCATCGCTTGTCTTTGACATCTTAATTTATCGAATCTATATCTTGATTCAGCTTCATCTACAGCACAAAGTGCTCTCAGGAACCTGCTTGCACGTCTCAGGTTAGGTTTTTTCCCAAAGAAGTTTCTTCATCGGTGCCAATGTTGCAGCGGGACAGTGTGGGCCAAGGACATTGGATTTGGCAACAGCAGGATCTAACATGACCTTAATTTAGATGTAGAGGTTCACGTTTCAGTGGTGGGTCTGAAGGCAGACTAAGGGAGGTCAAGGAAAGGGTGTGAGTTGAGAAATCAGGCAGAAGGTGCAGCGTATTCCTTAGCGAGCTCCAGAAGGAGGGAATCTGCAATCCCGCCTTCCTCTTCACCATCTTTAACGTCTCCTCTCTTGGTTGCATCCCCTCTGCCTATAAACGGGCACCAGCCCTCACTGCAGAAATCTACAACCTAGGAACCACGGCTCAAGCCCGCTTACAGGCAGAGGGGAAGAGGCCAAGAGGGAGGGGGACATTAAAGATGATGGAAGAAGGGCAGAGGCTGAGAGAGATAGGGAGAGACAGATGGGACAGTGAGGCCTTGGGTGAAGCCAGAGCAGGAGCTCCAGACCCAGGAGTGGTACCCAGGCTGGGAGGAGGACTGTGTCTCCTGGAGTGGCCAAGGTGACCACCCAGCCTCACTGGAGAGACAGCAAGGCACCCACCAATTCCTCTGTCTTCCCAGTTCCGGAGGAGACCTGGCCTCCGTGGGGAACTCAGGGGGCCGAGGAGGAAGGGCACTGAGGTGGGTGGAGAAGAGTCAAGACCGCCAGGGTCACGGTGTCAAGGGCAGCGCCTCTGTGGCATCCAGGGATGTGAGTAGTGAGGCTGGAGGGGGGCCTGTGCAGCTGGGGTGGAGCCTCTCCCCTCTGCAGCCTCATCGCGGCTCTGGCCCAGCCAATGCCGGATGCTGTGAGACCCCAGGAAGGCAGAGCTGTTGAGGGTGGTGGGACCAGGAGCCAGGGAAGGACTCACTTTGTGTGACCTTCCCTACAGTGGGCAGGCCTGTCAGCAGTCACTCGGCTTCACTTCCTTGCCTTTTTCCTGAAGACAAAAAGAAGGAAACCGTGCGTTGCTATCTAATTCCAGGCAGCGCCCATTCTGTTGGTGAGACCGAGGCCTAAAGCACAGGGAAAGACCCCAGAAGAGGCGAGAGTGGGGGGACAGAGTTATATCTAGATGGCTGCAGTGATTCTGCAGGACTGGGGTGTAGGGGAGCTGATGAGGTTGGAGAGCTGGGCCAGGGTCAGATCACAGATGGCCTCGAATGCCACGCCAAGGATCTGACTCTGAACTGAAGTTCAGTCTGGTGCAGAAGGGATTGCAGGGGCAGGGGTCTGGTGCAGTTAGAACAGTGAGGTTGTTACGACCACAGTCCAGGTACAAGGGCACACAGCTGGGCTCAGTAGGCTCGGATAGAGCTACCGGACTTGGTGACTGACTAGATGTGGGTGAGGTGGATGTGTCAGTTTCTGACTTAGACGGCTAGGGGTTACTTTTCACAGAGATGGGACCAGACTGTCAGGGAAGGTGGGGGTGGGAGATCAAGCCTGGGAGACATCCAAGGGAGATGTCTGGTGTGCAATTGTACATAGCAGCCTAAGGCTTGGAGAGAACTCCCAGGTTGGAGCTGTGGACTGGGGTCATCTGCACACAGGAGGTGGCTATGGCCATGGCATGGCTGCCATCACCCAAGACAGACCCCGGAGGTTCACCAGTGCTTAAGAGGCGGGCAGAGGAGAAGGCTCATGAAGGTGTGGTCAGAGATATCGGTGAAAGCAACAGAAAGGAGCAAAGGTGTCATCCAAACCAAGAGCAGTGTTTCAGGAAGGGAGAGGTGGGCCATGCCCTGTGTTACCGGAAGGCCCAGCAAGACAGAGCGTGTCCACCGACCTGCAGCAGCAAGAGCACAGGCGGCCTTGGGAAGAGCGATTTCAAGGGCCTCATGGAGCAGAAGTCACACCCCGGAGAGTGAGGCGTGCAGGGGGGCACACGGCCGTGCTGCTCGCCAAGCTTCCGCATTGGCCGCGAATGTGGCGCCGGTACTCTCTGGGTGTTGCCGACTCTCCCTTGTTTTGTCAAAATAAGTCTTTAGCTCTTGGAGCGAGTCTCATTTGACCAGGGGTCTCTAGGGTGCCTGTGTCACCAAGGCCTCCTCTCGCCCATCTCCTGTCCCTCTCATGGAACCTCCTCGGTCGCAGAGGGTGGAAGACTCCTTGTAGGCGCTCAGAGCTCCAGCACCTTGGTCAGGTCTCCAGGCTGCCTGAGGAGCGCATTGGGAGGCTGCTGTGCCGGGAGCAAGGCTGCAGCATGCTGAGCCTAGGCCTTGCGACACCACATCTCCCACCCATCGCCTTTCACTCACTGGGCCCCCACTCACTTCTCATACTCCCCCTACCCTTTCATGAGATAACCGCAGAATGGGGGAGCCAGAGGAGGCCTTTGCATCTTCAGGCCATCGCCTAAGTAAATGCGGGCCCCTGGAGGGGCAGTGATTTGCCTACAGCATTGACCAGGGTGTATCTGGTGTTCTGGCCCCTGCGTAAGCTCCTGGTCTGGAGAGAGGAGCATCTAGGAAAGACCTCTGTGGGGAGGGAGAGGCCCAGAGTCCCTTGGACTTGGCCTTCCCCAAAGACCTGAGCAGGTCAGTGCACCTTGGGAAGCCTCTCAGGGCCAAAGATGGCTACCAGGCTCTCCTGACTCTACCCTTCTTCTTCTTTTTTTTTTTTTTTCTTAATTATTATTATGTTTTTATATAGAGACAGAGTCTCACTGTGTTGCCCAGGCTGGTCTCAGAACTCCTGGGCTCAAGTGTTCTTCCTGCCTCAGCTTCCCAACATGCTGGGATTACAGACATGAGCCACCGCACCCTCCACTTTTAAGGGCCTCTCTTGGAACAGACCTGGGGCCCTTCATTGATCTGTGGCTCCACTACCTCCTCCGCGATCGGCAGGTACCAAGGCCACGTCCCCACTGTGGCCTTCTCCTTTGGCGCTCCCTATGGCACCACCACCCTCAAGTACTTCCAGGACCACCGCAACACAGCCATGGAGAAGAGCCACACTCCTTTCAGCCAAGGCGGCCACTTCCCCACCATCTTCTCCACCAACCCCAACCTCCTGCTGATGGAGCGCGCGAGCACCCGGGACCGCTGGCTGCACAAGCCCAGCTACACTCGCTTCAACCTGGATAGCCACCGATCCACAGAGCTCACAAACTTCTACCAGGTAAGCTGTGCGGGGCTGCCCTGTGGCCTCCCCTCCTGCCCACCTGCCCCCACCACGGGAAGGAAGTGATGGCCAGAGACTGGGGGACACCTCGTACCTGCCACAGTGTCTTGATTTCCTTTCTCAGAGCCCCTGAGCCAGCAGGGAGCATGGAGGGTTTGGCTAAAGGGAGTGGGGAGGCTTAGGACTTTGCCCCCCTGATCTCTCCCCACATCCTGGGGCTTCTGGATCACCAATTCCTGCTCACCCCCACTGCCAGTGCAGCTAGGGGTCTCTAGGGATGCTCCTGCCCTTACCTCCCCCTGGAGTCTCTTGAATCTGTGGAATGCCATATATTTTCGAGGTGAGTAAAAGGTCTAAGATCCACCCACCAGATGAATAACACGAACAAAGGCCCCACTAGAGCCCCCTGCCCCAGGTCCAGCCCCACGGTGTTTTATCCACTCGCATCCAAGAGCCTGTTCAACCCCTCCCTACCCTGCAGCCCCCCTGGGGGCATGCTCTGAGTCACCCTCAGCCCCAGGCTGGAAGAGACTGCCCTGCAGGGAGTAAGCCCGAGGATGGGGACCTACCCATATCCCTGTTGTTCTTGTCCTGCTGTTTGGGCTGGTAAAGCCTCCCTGGATGTGGTTCAGACACATTCCCAGAGACCACAGGTGCATGGGCCTGAGCTGGCCCTTATGCCCTTGGCAGGGATACGGATTCATTCTCTCCTGTGTTCCCAAAACCTTACTCTCTCCATCACCTTCTCTCGCAAGCCTCCCCGTCTAGCCTGATTGCAAGGACAAGGTATGTCCTGGCCCCAGGGCAGAGAACTTGTATGAGTAAGGCAACTTCCTCGGGAGAGGAGGAGGTCAATGCCACCAGCCTCTGATGCATATGCGACCATCTCGGGGGGTCTGCCAAAGCCTTTCCCTCCATCTTGGCGCTCAACAGAACATGCCCCATACAGGCGGAAGGAGAGAAGGGAGCAAACACAGGCCAGGCAGACATGGTGCCTGTGTGCACAGCAGGTGTGCGTATGCCTGCAGGGCTGAGTTCTTGTATTTGGTCCGAGCTGGTCCCTTGTTTCATTTACGCTCTGTAGCAAAGCTGGTCTGGTCGGTGTCATTATTCCCATTAGGCAGATGAGAAGTTGAGGCTCAGTGAGGACAACCAGCTGGTTGGCAATTGAGTTGGGACCCCAGCAACTCCGGGACTCCTCCAGGGGCATTAGGAGAGGTGGCCCCCAACCCTGCCCAGGTGCAGCAAGGTATGGACTGCAGGTGCCTGCAGTCAGTCCTCCAGACTAACAACCTGTCATCTCTTCCTTGATTGAACCATAGGCAGTCCAGCAGCATCGGAAGTACTATCAAGACAAGACAGGCACGGTGCCTCGAGTCCCCTACTTTGTGCTGCCCGTGAGGGAGCCGGAACACTACCCCCTCCCCACTGTCCTGTGAGTTGTGAGTCCCTGCCCTCCCTTCATCCACGCAGTCAACAAACGCACCCATGGTGCACCTGCTCTCGGCCAGGCATGCACAGCGCACAGACTGAGAAATGAGTTGAGGATCTTGCCCTAAAATGTGCGGTGCAGAGAGTGATGGTTGCGGAGCAAGGGGGTCAGGGCATTGGCAGCCTCAGGGGGGATGCTGGTAGCCTGAATGGGTAAATCACGAAGAGTGCTTTCCTGGCCAGATGCACTGGGAATTTGGGAGAAACTCCGTAAGCTCAGTGGGCCTGAATCTGCGGATTGATGCCCTGCCTGCAAAGGCAGCCTGGCAGCTACACTAGTCCTAACGCGGGCGCCCATGCAGAGAGCAGTAAGGAGCTGCTGCCCTCTGGTGGATACAGAGGGCACTACACCGAGCTGGAATCTTCCCCCAGCCCCGTCCACATTTGGAAAATGTTCTCCTAAGGACTTTCTGTCCATCTAACAAAATAGGAAAGTTCCTTGCCTCCTGCCCCTCACTACTTTTATCTAGGAGAGCTCCTTTTTCCAGGGAAGGCCCACTCTGCCCTGAAAGATGACCTGGGTACTGTGGTTTCTGTGCTCTCTCCTTCCCGAAGCGCAGGCAGGGGTATCACTAACTCACACGAGGTGTCCTGGGATGGGATAGGGTGGTGGGTGGTACCTGGCCTGCAAGGTCAGTGGATAGAGCTTGGGATTTAGCTCCATACCGACCACTTCCTGCTTGCCTCAGAGTCCTGAGATTCACCATCATCCTTACTGATAAAGCAGCATCTGTTTTCATAAGTTTAATGGTTTTTATAGAAACAGGCTTCACTGCATCCAAAAGTTCCTTTCTGCAAGATAGGATCATTTTACAAAAAAGGGAACCCGAGGTTCATTTATCACCTGGGGAACTTGTGCTGCATGGCCTGGATGGTTGGAGGCAGAGCTTGGAAAGGAAGCAGCATCTCCCATCACCACCTCTAGGACTCAGGGGGCTCTCTCTAATCTTGGGATGGCTCTGAGCCAGTCCGTCCCTGGAGTAGAGTGGGACTCTCCTGTGGACAGGTATCCTCTTGAGACAGCTCTGGCCAGGATCTGCCCCCACCCCCATCACCATGGGGAAAGCAGGACACCTCAACTCTGTTCCTTCTTCAAGTTGCCTGGCCACTTGCACTGCTGCTGACAGTTTCACACTGAATGCAAATGACCAACCAGGTGGTTGGGAGAAGAGGGTCAGTGACCGGCCTGGGGCAAACCCCTCCCTCCTGGAATCCCCTCCATCAGCACCATCATCATTTCTTAGAACATTTGCTGTGTGATTACTCCTTGTCCAGAGCTTTACATGCATTACTGCATTTATTCCTCAAGTCAATGCTAAGAGGGGGATACCACCACTGAGCCATTCTTAAATATGCACACTTCTAGCAGGAGTTGGGACCAGAGTCCATCCCAGGTCTGTCTGACATCTGTGCCCTCACTCTTCACCACTGTGCCACTATGTAAATACAGGTTATTCCCACCCCAAGTCCAGGGGGACCTATCAGGTGTTAAGCTGACGAGTAGCCAGCAGGCCAGCATAAGCTGGAAAGTTGGCACATGGGGCTGTGGGTGGGCATGCGTCACCCTCTTTCCCTGGCACACTGCATAACATCAGTCCCATCCTCACCCCTAGGCCTCCTCTGTGCCCGAAGAAGAAGTGGCAGCTTTTGAGAGTAGCCCCCGAGAGCCTGAAGACCTACCAGACCTTTCCGTCAGGGAAGAGGGTCTCCCCGCAAGAGCGGAAGAGGAGAGACTGCTACTTCGAGTTCAGAGCATGAGACCAGGTTCCTGATGCCTGGGATCCTGGGTGGAGACCAGCCCGGCTTCCCTGGAATAAAACCTTTAGCCGTGACCATCCTACCCACCTCTCCTCTGGATCCCAGGGACACTCGGCCACAGCAGGAAATGCCCCCTGAAAGTCACACAGCATTGTGTCCTACGGGCCTGCGGAAAGCTCTGTCCCAGGGACTGAAGCCGAGCAAAAGTGGTGTCCGGCTACCTGACAGGTCCAGCTACCTTCTCCCCAAGATGGGGCAAGTTGAACTGAGGAATGTAGGGTTCCCTAGCCTTAGTGGCAGGCCACTCAGGTACAGAGACCTCCCACCTGATTCTACTGGTATAAGCAAGGAAGTCCAGTTACCCCGGTCTAAGAATGAAGGGGAAGTGGCCCCAGAATAATCGTGCTGGGTATGATTGGAAAGGAATTTTCATCGGAGCCCTGACTTGGCATCGTTTGGTCCACACGATCACTTGTGAGGGAAGAAGTGTTATTATCCCCACTTTACTGATAAAGACACTGAGGCGCAGAGAGGGTGAGGGTGAGAAAGTTGCCCAAGCTTACACAGTTGGGAAGTATCACAGCCAGAATTTGAACTCAGGTCTTTCTGACTCCCAAGTCCTGGTTTTTCCAGGACCACAGCCTGCTTGTGGTCCATGTGGAGACTGAGGGGCAGGGAAGACATAAACCTTGGGATCCTGAAAGAGCCTGTGGAGGGTGGAGCCTGGGAGAAGAAGCTGTGCGCAGCAGGCACCTTCTGCATTCTGCCGAGGCTGGCTTGGACGGGTGGATGCGGCATCTACCCCTGAAGCTGTTTCTAGAAGAGGATGGGAGGGAATGACCTAGGACCAGGCCACTCTTCCAGGAATTCCTATGTTTCGGGGCCCCAGGCCAGAAATGGATGCTGGGCATGGATGCTGAGGCCACATGCCTGGGGTGGTCTTTGAGGTCTGGAGGATCCGCTCCCACCAGGCTGCTGCTTCCTACCTCCCAGGAGGCTCCTGCCTGCTGGGGCAGGGGCAGGACGGGGGTGAGAGCCCCTCAGGGACAGGATCAGGGATGGGGACCTCAGACCAAGGTGGGGACCTTCTCCAACATTCCAGCACCTCTTGGATTTGATCAAGGGCACTCCATTAAACGACAAGGCCCTTATTGTCCTTGAACAGGTGAGTCAGGACCTAATGGCAAGGGGAACACAGCCAGGTTCAAGTACACCTGGGGCTGGAGCAGCCCCTCCTCTGTAGCCAGCGATTAGATTAGACACCTCCCCCAGGATAATGTAAATAAGAAAAACCCAGTGGGGGGCTTCTGTGTCTCCAAGTCCCTGAGGAGCTGGACCCCAAAGGCTCTCTGTGGTGGCCAAATTCATTCCAGGGCTTGGCTGAATAGCAAAGCAAATAAACTGATTGCTGGTCCCACAATCAGGGCCAAGATGCCTTCTCCCTCAGAAGCGGAGTGGGGAGCCGGGCGCCGGCTGGAATGGCTGCTATGTGCACGTCTCTGTGCAGCTCTGCAGTGCGAGGTGCTGGGGGTCGGGGGTTTTGAGGAAGGGAGGGAAGGCCCTCTATCTTGCTAGGGACCTTCATCCCATTTGGCTTGGTCCCCTGCTATGACACGGGTTGAGATTTGAACTATTCCCTCAAAAAGATTGCCACCCCAGCCTGCTTGATGTCGCTGGCACACGGAAGCCCTGGAATGGGCAGCTCTTAATAAAAAGTACCGTGTATGATCCTGCATTTAAAAAGTGATGATCTGGTGGGCTCAGGAACAGGTCTTTCTTTTATTTTATCTAATAAACAATATTCTAGAGGGGAGGGTGGGCCCAGGACAAAGTCATACTTCAGACCAGCTCCCTCCACTGCTGGAGGGGGTTCGATGCCAGTGGTCTCCCTCGAGGCTGCCACGTCAGGTATTTGCAGCTACATCAGCATCCCCAGAAGTGAATCCGAAAGGAGCTGAAAGAAAGAATCCCGTGAGCCACGTGAGCCCGCAGGTCCAAGGGGCCCTCTGACTCCTGGGTTCACAGTAGTCCTGGAGGCTCCCTCCCTGGCCTGCATCTCATGTCCCTTTCTCTGGGCAACAGCCACTTTGCAGCTGTCCCAAAGCAACCCCAAACCTTCTTTAAGCTTCTTTCAGCATCACCGCAAGGCAAAGGCAGGGCACCAGAAGGAACCTTGTGGTGCTCGCATCAGTGGAAAGAAATGGAAGAGATTCAAAGCGAAACTCCGAGCAGTCAGGGTGCCAGCTTCATTACGTGCTGGGCTGTGACAGAACAAGAGGAGTTACCTTTGGCCGGGGTGGTCCCAAGTGTGCATCCTTTTAGAGAGGGGCCACCCAGGCCACAGGTCCTAGCAGGCCTGTTGGAATGAGGAGCCCCCTCCTCATCCAGGCAGTCAGAAGAGGGGAGGACCCCTGACCATGGCCACTCGGATCCTGTCTCTGGGGATTTGGAGTCAGAGCTGAGAGGTGTTACTTAGGAGTCACTGAAGGTCACTCAAGACCGAGGAGGTATAAACTTGACCACTGCAGGGAGGCCATGCATGGTCTTGTGTCTGACAAAGCAGAGACAGCTGGTGCACAGCACTGAGTGAGCGTGGAAGGCTGATGGGAAGCAGAGACATTGGCACAGAGGGACCCGGCAGCCCCGGGCTCCTGCCCTGGTGCTGGCTGAGTCTAGCTCTTAGTTCTGTTTCCCTTCATCTGTAAAAGCACCTTGAGTGGGCACACGTGAAATCAGCGCGCCTCTGAGACCAGGGGCAGAGTCGGACCCAGGAGCGGGAGACGCCAGCTCCACCCGGCTCGTCCTCCATGGCGCGCACTGCCTCCAGGGGGCATGCATCTCCCGAAAGCGGCAGCACCCCAAAAAGACTTCAACATGGCCAGGGAGATCTGGAGATGGCCAATCTTCTCAAGGATGTTTGGGCCTCAGAAGACCCTTTGGGCCCCTCTTGCTCTAAGAAATAGAATTGGATGCTTCTCTCATTGTTTCTTTTCTTCTATGAGCTCCACCACCAGCATCTTCTGATCCCCCCTGAAACCGCCAACTCCCAGTTGGCTGCTGGAGGCAGTGGGGTCATCAGGAGTCCAGTGGGCCTCAGGAGAAGCACAGAGGTGTGTCGGCTGGCACAGGGAATGCTCTGAGGTTGGAGCTGTCATGTCATTCTCAAAGCCTGGGATCCAATCCTCTCCTCTGCCTTTTAATACCCCAGGGTTACCTAATTTCTCAGAAGCTCCAGTTTTGCTGATTCTGAAAGAATCTGCAAAGTATTCTGGAAACTCAGCCTCCTTGGGAAGACTGAGATGTCCCATGGGGTGAGGAGAGATCGGGGGGCCCTTCATGCCCCCCCCAACCCACTCTTCTGGGCAGTCCCGCCCCCTCCAGAATACCTTACTTCATGAAATCCGGAGACTTGGCCATCGCATGTTCAAACTCTGAGAAGGACAGCATGTTGTCATTGTCCAGATCTGACTCACTCAGGACCTGGCCAGGGAGCACAGAAGGTGGCTGAGTGGAACCCGGTGTCAGGCAGTGAGGTGGGGCACGGGGTGGAGGGAAACGCCACATACCAGGGGCTCTGCCACATGCTTAACACTTGTCTCCCAGGTCCCCTGACCCCAGTGGCCCCACAGAGATTAGGTCACGTGCACCAAAGCTTTGGACCCTACTGGCTGCCACTCACTCCTGGGGCCTCCAGCACCAGCCTGGCAGTGAGAGAACAAGAGTGTCCCCCACCTGCCCCGCCAACCAGTACACACAGGGGCTCTGCACTACAGGGAGCCCAGGCAGGCAGGGAGGTGGTGGTGACTCCCTCAACAGTGCTCATGGTTTTATCTTCCTTCTAGTCCCCATCGAGACTGGAAATGCTGGACACTTGTCATGTTCTGAAAGCCGAGATCCATGCCCTGACTTGAGTTTGTAGGGCCGTCTTCGTGTTTGTCACTCCGGGACACCTGGGCACTGTGTTGTGCTGAGACAGTGTGAGGAGGGGATGTTGAGAGGGGTCCCTCTGAGGCTAAGCTGCTGTTGGCCCGCCACTGGCAGTCCCTCTCATGTAGGGAGGTCCCTCGAGTGGGTGGGTTGGGCTCAGTGTTCTGGAGACCCTGGACAGGTCTTGGAGGAAGGACAGAAAGTCGAGGGGCAGTTGCCTCCCTCTGTGTGCCCATTCCTCAGGGCACCCTGAGCTGCCTGTCCCCTTGGCAGCCCCCAGGGAATGTGTGCACCAAAGGCCAATGTGTCATCGGACTCAGACTGGCCCTGGATCTCCTCCCAAGAGGGTGGCTTGACATCTGGGGGCTTTGGGTGACAACATGGCCCCATCCCCAGCCCCAGCCACCAGCTCCCAGCCCCCAGCACACACGTGGTTCGTGAGGTCCATCAGCAGGTCCTCAGACATGTCATCACTGTTCAGCAGCCGCAGGATGATCCTCTGCAGGTCCTCCTCATCAATGAAGCCATTCTCATTAAAATCTGCAAAGAAGAGGCCAGACCTGCATTAGAGGGAGATGGGCGCTGAATAGGAAGAGGACTTGAGGAGTCCTGGGGGACACGTCACCAGCCAGGACCCCACAGATGCCCATTAGCCTCTGGGAGGCCCCCCAGAGCCCAGGTCTCCCAGGCGGGTCACACATGGGTGCTCAATAACCTGTCAGAAATACCAGTGGTAGTAAGTATTGATTGTGTGTGTACTATATGCTCAGACCTCTCCTGGGAGCTTGAAGTCACTGAATCTTCACAATCAACCTTTTATTAGTCTTTTACCAAAAAGAAACTGAGGCACAGGGGGTTATATGGTTGCCAGGCAGTGTGGAGCAGAGGGCGGCCTGGATCTGGAGTCGGAAGGCCTGGGTGCCAGTCCCTGCTGCTGTCCAGATGCAGTAGCTGTGTGATCTGGGCATGTGCCCTCACCTCTGCAGTGAAGGGGGGACAGTGGTCCTTGTAGCCTCTCCACAGAGGAGCTAGCCATACTGACCCTGGCTGTGCCCTAAAGTGTTAAGGGGACAAGAGGCAATATTCCCTCCACCCCCGTGCAGCCTCCTTCCTGAAATGGAGTCCAGAAATGGGCAAGAACAGGCACCAT